GGTCAGGCCTTGGAACAGGCTGCCCAGGGAAGTGGTTGAGTCACCATCCCTGGAGGTACTTAAAAGACGTGTAGATGTGGTGCTTAGGGACATGGTTTAGTGGTGGACTTGGCAGTGTTAGATTTACGGTTAGACTCAATGATCTTAAAGGTCTTTTCCAACCAAAACAATTTTGTGATTCTATTCTATGATTCTATGATTTTAGCTTCCTATTCCTATGGAATTACACAAAAGAGAAATGTCTTTCTTAATCTATGTCCTTAAAGCAAAGGTACTGCTGAACTGATGTGAAGCAGTACAAACTGGCACTGATTTACCTGGACCGTTACCAGAATCACAGTCTTCACATTTTTAGGTCTTGGAATAAAATCCTACTTCATATCTCTGCCAATATGTGTCTGGCATATTTTTTTCCTGTGCCTAGCTGTGTCTGGCTGTCACTATCAGCTTCGTTTATCAAGCACTTAACTGTTCTACAAATAAAAAAAAACAAACGGTATAATAGGTAGTTATTTTTCTTATTAATAATACGTTAGATCAGTTATAGCAAAACCGCCATGTTTATTGAACTGAAGGAACTGCATGACTGTAAATCATTAAACACTTACTTCTTTCACAAACCACTGGCAAAAGGCAGGGCCAATCCACTCTCTTGCATGAATCCCACAGTCTATCCAGACAGCTTTCTTGTAGGGCCGTGATCTTTTACCTAACTTGAAGTGTGAATATTCATAGAAATATCAATAGATCTCATGACATTAGTGCGACATAGTAATGAGAAAATAATAGACTATTAGAAACACTAAACCATTTTGAATTTCCTCATATAAAGGAACATAAATTTTTTGTTTTCAAAAGTATGGCCAAGATAATTATATGCAGATATGCCAAGATAATGAAGCTGATCTATGGAAAAAAAATTACAGGAAAAGTGAGATCTGACAATTCCTCTTTTATGAGAAGTGATATTCTTAAATATCACATGGAGCAGGGTGAGGAAAAATGATGCTACTGGAATAGCCTGATGCAGAATCAAATTTTCAGAACTCTGCAACAGCAGATGAAAAGAAAGTACATTGAAAGTCAAATTTTTTTTGCGTCCTGTTGACACCGTCTAATTTGTGGTCCTACTAATGTGAGTTGAGAGCACACAGCCCTGAAATTTTGTCAGTAGCTAAAGAGGAAGCGTATGTGGCACGTGCTGAGAAGAGCTCCAGAGTCCTCTGGGGTCCCTCTGCAGCATAACTGCTTTTCAAGCAGTGTCTATAAACACAAAACTTTCCAGTTCGCTTAAATCCAAATCCTGCTAATTGAACTTGTCCTGTAATCTATCTCCATGCATATCTAATCCATGTAAATAGGATTTGGCTTTTAGTTTTCCAGCTTTTTATTTTTTTGTTCATTAAAGATGACATTCAGAGAGATACTTAGATCTTAGCAACTTATCCTTAGGAAATACTGTTAACCTGCATCTCTGGTGTACATGATATACATAAGTAACAAAGTGTCTGTTCCTCATTCCAGATTTTAGTCTGATTAATGACCATTTAATCTTTACCTTGAGTACAAACAGTGGTCTTCCTTCATAGGATTTTCCAACAGAGAACATGTGAACAAGATCTGAACGAGTTTTATTCAGATGATGCATCCAACCCTGGATCTGCAAATACAGAAACAAAATTGTTGCTTCAATCTTTGCATTTCATGGGAAGCAACTATTACACATTTATTAACCTCAGCTCTCAGTCCTCTGTATGTTTTTGGATTTTCCTGTATTTTTTCTTTTTGTCTTTTTTGGGTTTTTTTTTGTTTGTTTTTGCTTTCACACTTCAATTATCCTTGGGCTCTCATAGCTCTATTGCCAGAGGCTGGATGCAGCCTTCAGTCACATGGGATTTTTTCCCCATTTTGTTGTTCGATATTACCAGAATGCATTAGCTATCCATCAAAAATCTGGGGATGGGGCTAATCCACCATTCCCACTAAATATTAATGGACTGAAGAAAGAAGGTCCCTGAGTCTGCCTGCCAGGACACAGAATGGCGAACACATTGACCCGCAGGATTCAATGCTACCTGCAATATTTGTTTCACAGGCACCAGATCTCATTGAGGCGCAGCACCCTCCATGCTCAGCCTAGTGACTTTGTTTTGGTGCAGACTGAAACTGTGTATGTGAGCACGCTGAAATCAACAGAAATTATTTACCCAGCTATCTTCCAGGATAGTATCCCTTATACATGAATTTGTATCTAAGCGTTTTCAAGTCTTTGGGCCTCTTGTGCAAATACATAAGCATTTGCTCATATTGCTTACTTAAATGACTCAGTGAGACTAATCACTCACTGAAATCTCTTATTCCATCAGAGAAAAAGACCTACTTTGAAAACAAAACTCAGAAGCTGTCAAAGATAGTTACATGTAAAGATAAGCCTTGAATACAAATATTAAAAAAATACGTATTTTCAAGAAGGTGCCTATTTTTGAAGAAGAAACATTTAGAACACTTCTGAAGATGAATGGAGAACCATAACTTGTAGAGAGAGTGAAATCTTAGCCTTATTAAAAACAACAGTGTAGCAGATAAGAGGAACAATATGAATTTTCACGTACTTCTTCCAGGGAGTGATATACTTCATAGTTATATCCAGAAAGGGACCTTCGATTCCTATATGACCTCAGTCCAGTTTGGTTTTCTATTGCTTTCTGTAGGTCTGATATGAGAATCCTAGGTAAAAAAAGATAGGGGTATTATTGAAAAACTAGTAGAACACACAGGCTAAGGCAGAACAACAATCACATTTAGAAGAAATATAGCAGGAGTTAAACCATCCTGATGTCACTTCATCTGTTATATTTTGACAACAGAGTGCTTCAGGCTTATTTGAATATATGCTGCCAAATAAATATTCCACCTGCTTTGAAATGTAACAGTGCATTCAAAAAACACAATGAGCTTGTTAAGCGAATAAAACAGAATGATGTAAATAATGTAGCCAATGGGAAGAAGAAGCCACTTGCATTTGTTTATGGAGCCGCATTTGCTGTCTTTTTTTTTAATCCAGTTATACTATGTGATCATGGATCTTCAAAAATTGATTTCAAAACCATAAAAAAAAGTCTTTTTAGGCTTAGAAAAACATGCATATACTTTCTCTCGGGAGAGAGAAAACAACAAATGAAGAAAAAATCTTAAGTGTGGTTTGTTGTTTACATTATCTACTCTGCAATAGTTGTTTGCTTATTTTAAAATAACTCAGGAAAAACATGAAACAATACTAAGTGAAAATTAAATATGCTTGCATAAACAGTGAGAGGTTCTTGCATCAAAAGCAAAATGCAGAAACAGTGGTGTAAGCTGAAAACTTTCCTATTTTAGGGCGAAACCAAATAATGATACAAATATAAAAATATAATATAGAAAATATCTAAAAAGAATTATATTGAAGAATTTGGAGCGTCTATCCTTTCCATCACGCAGTGGCAGGAGCTGGGAATATCGTCACTGACATCAGTAACAACATCACTGTAAAATTGACAGTCATCCTTGTATACCACCTTCTCCTAAAGCATGGCGATGTGTAATCACCATACCACTAATTCATCATTCCTGTAAAACGATGGTCACATCCAACCTCTTAAAGTTTTATCGGCATTAGCTGCAATGATTGGAAAAAGATGGAAAGAAACTGCGTTCACGCTGTGCAGATGATACCTCAAAGATAATACGTCTATCTACATATAATATCAAAGTAAAGGTTATCCCCATCTTCAAATGTATTAGTGAAGTAATTGTATAATTAGGAATTACTTTGTTCTACATCAGCAACTTTCATCAAGCAAACTAAGGGCTTATAGTCTTTGACTTGCAAAGTGCTGTACACTCTAAGACCAGTACTGTAAAGCATTTAAGCCTGTAGCTAGATTAAAGCAGTGGTTTTATTCAAGTCATTAGGACATCTAATATGTTAAAAAAATACTTGCCTGCTTTGCTGAATTCTGATTAGCGTAAGTACCTACCAGGATCACGCTCTGCTTGCTCACTTCTACAATCATAGATTTAATTTCACAACTCCTGATTGTTTATGCGTCTGTACTCCAAATGAGATTTGATAATCTTTCTTTACTCTTAAATAACTGTATACTGTGTGTGCTTGTAACACAAAGGCTCTTAAGCCCCTCAGGTCCCTTAGGTCACAACCTAAGTGGCTTCGTTGCCAGAGAACTTACAACTGAGGCAACTTGGTGCAGTAAGAGTTTATCTGATGCCTGGCTTGTTTTCATGACTGTCTTCTTGTCATAAAGTCAAACACTGGGACAGTTAAGCCTGTCTTACAGGCAAGGGCCGGTCACCTTGTTCATTATTAGGGTTGCTTAATGCCTCCTGTCTTTAGAAATTTGTCATAATTTAGGCAAGCGTCTCTCCGTCAGGCTGAAGGTTTACATCGTGTTTGCCTCACATTTTCCAGTTCCAAAAGGGATGTAGCAATTTAACTCCTTTGCAAATAGCGTGTCAAAAATAAAACAAAACAAAAAAAAATTGTGAAAACCAGCCATGAGAAAAGGAGCCGTATGAAACCTTGCCCGGTGCCTTGGCCCCTTGGCTGTGGAGCTGCACTTCGGCTCAGGGCCGTGGTCCCCACCCCAGCTGCGCTGTGGGCATGGCTGTGCCCAGCCGCCCCGGCGGCCCCGCTCCTGCCGCTCCCCGACTGTGTCTGTTGCTGCTCTCATGGCGAATCCTGCCAGCTCTTGTGGAGTTACAGGTCTCAGGAGGCTCGTCAGGACAAGCACATGCTCGTCTGAAGCTTTGCAGGGTTTTGTTTCTGGTGGCTGGGACCCAGCGGACAAGAAGTCTGAAACGGGCAGTGGGGAGATGAAGAGGGAGGGAAAAGAAACAGTTGACAAAATGCTGCCCAGCTTCCTTCTAAGTGCTCACAACTTGTACGCCAAATGTCAGAGAGGAAATTTTCCCTGTGGAAAATTAATGTAATGTTGTCCTAGTATTTGGTAGCATGTTGTTTCAGGTAAACTGCAGAGACCCTTCGCTATCGCTGTTCTTGCCCTTGCACACTCTGCTCTGCAACCTAAGTAAAGGTCTTCAAGTACAGGGAGCGTTTGTAACACATATAAAATGGCCTTCTGTCATTTCATTAAAGGTGATTACTGTGAGCAGGAACAGCAGCAGACGTGACTACAACTGGCAGGGCACAGTAATTAGGGGACATTTTTTGTATAAGCACAGGAAAACAATTACAGAAATCCCCATCTCATTTTTAAACACAAACAAAACTGAAGCAGTGTTGAACCCACATGAAAGTCATTCTGAACTTCAGCTACCGGGCCGGCATAATTCATTTTCTTATGTTTTTTTTGTATTTTTAGAATGGCAAATTAATAAGAGACCATTGTTGTAATAAAAATGGAATTCTGATAAGATTACGTATAATATACAGTATGATTTGTGCCATCCTTTTCTGAGAAATAAGTATAAATACTCTCACATAGGGCTTTATTCAGCAAATGTTTGAGAATTCAAATAACTCATCAATTGATTATTCAGATGCTTCAGCATCTCACCGAAAGGGCTTTAATGACAAGGTCATTACTCGTCTAGTATATCACATTGATAAATATGAAATAAGCAGTATATCATATTGATAAATATGAAATAAGCATACTCCAAAACTGTCTTGAATGCTTTTAAGAAACACTATAAATAATGTGTGATCCTTAGCATGCATTTGTTCTGTATGACTTGCGTTGGGTCACGAGGAATGGAGCGTTATAAAACAGAACTAGTACATTCCTTCATAATTCATGAAGAAGGCTTGCCTCTGCATTTGCAGCAGACTTGTAAACAAACCTTGCTCCTGTTAAATACAGAGAGAGGCAAGGCAGGCTGTAGAATTAGTAATTACCATCCCTCTCTTAACAGATGTGATTTCATATACATTGAAAACACTTCAGCTTGACTCCAAAGGAGGACATTTAATTAAAACTGCCTGCCTGTGGGAGATTTTCTGTTCTCCCATTAAAATGGTTGTTTTCTTGGCAATGTCTAGTTCTCTGCCAGTCTAATTGCTATGATGTGGAACGTATTTTCAAGTGCGCTTGGCGTGGTAGACGCAGACCTGCCTTGGAGGCCAGATCTCTGGAGCGAGGCACAGAAAGCGAAGCACAGGCTTACGTGTACTGGATGTTTGCTTGCTGGAGGTAGGGCAGCAGACTTCGGGATGTGTTCTGTGGTACTCGCACGTCGGTGACCGTACCTTCGACGATGTGGAAGGGGCTGCTGGGCTGCCACAGGTCCACCTGTAGTGCAGGAACCAACCTGTAATTCATATGCATTCAGTGTAGGTGGGGAAATCCAGGAGATAGCTCGCTTGAAGCTATGTAGGCAAACACTCTAGGCATGGTATAGACAATAAAACTGTATTGGCTGCTCCAGCTCGACATCTATGCTAATGGAGCAGATTTTCAGGAATGATTGTGTCCAGCTTACCACAACTCTCATGGGAGGTTTGCCAACGGGAAGAGAGAATGGTCTCTCAGGAATGTGCCTCCTCAAACAGCTTGCAACAAAAGCTACCTCCAATTTCATGCGCCTCCTCAGACTACTATACGTTCCCTATGTATTAGCTCCTATGGAGTCCATGAGTCGTTTTTATTTCATAAGGTATTTTCTGTGTTCACTAGGGCAGTAAAAGAAAAGAACGCTGAGGAGAGGTAGAAGGCGTAGCATATACCAGTCTTTTTGCAAAGTGTACCCAAATTTTATTCTTGATAGTAAGCAGATCAGAGGTCAGTAACAGAAGGTCACCAATACTATGAAGGAAGCTGTGATCTACCCAATAATTTTATATGAAATGTCAAAATAACAGGATTAAGATAATCAAATGTTTACAATCTTGTAAAAAATGATAGCTACTAAATGATACCACAATTATTAATGTGCTATCTATATCTGCGCATACTAAGGGATGCTTCTTGTCCATTTTTACTTTCTTTTGTTGCCAAATCTGAAATACACTTGGAAATTTTAGCCCAGAACATGAATTTTCAAGAAAGCAAGGAAGTTTGCAAACAGGGATTTGAAACTCGGTGTTCTGCACCCGTAGCAAAACGGTGTTGTACTGCTCAGCCCTACCAACAACAGATCCACATACTCTTCCACAGAGGTGAGAACAGTTCCTCCTCAGCCAGCGTGAGGACAGTGGCAAGAACACAAGTTAACCAACCTCTTCCCAGACCTGCTGCATAGTCACAGGAGACTATGGAAAGGAGTCTCAGCAACAACCTCTGTGTCAATGTGACAAATATGCACGTCAAGATCCACAAGCCTTAAAAATACCTAAGTTTGTGAGCTGAATACAAAGAGAGGAACTGATAGGGACTGCCATGTCCCCACATTTCTTAAAGATAATTTAAAAAGAGTTAATACTTGATAAATATCTTTTGAATTTTATTGCAATATCAGCTGTGCTAGGCTGCATTGATGAAAGTCATGGATACAGCTCATGAGTGTCCCTTGCCTTACTTGCTTTCGAGGTTTCTAAGAAGGTTTTTATAATCTATACTTTAAAAGCTCCTGACTTCTTCTATGCCATGCAAGCTACTTTGGAAATATCTAATGCATTTCACCTGGTCTTGCTACAAACCTCATTTGAGAAGAGAGTATAATTTTGCAGCAGCGGTTTAGTTCCCACCATTTCTCAAATGGCCCCGAGTAACAATATTCTGATTACCAAGAAGGCATCTGATGCTGAACCTGATGCTACCTCTTCAAGCAGTAGTGACTTTAGTCCAGTTAATCCAATTAAATGCCTGCTACTTTGGAAGGAGAAAAACTGAAACACGGGGGCAGCCTCTTCTATTCCTGCCAAAACCACTCTTTGTTTCACGCTGCCACAGTATGGTCTATGGATCCATATGACAGTGGTGGGTGAGCGCAGCATCTTTTGAAATCTAACACCAGGACTGGCAAAGTTCATGAGCCTTGTGAAGCTGACAGCAGCTATGACAGATGGTCAGTAGAAACCAAACTCATTAATTAAATGGTGCTAAATGCTGCTTATAAATAAAGATCCTCTCACTGCGCTAACACCTTATGTTTGTTAGTTTATCTATCTTTTGTATTTTGATTAATTATAGACATCCAGTGAAATTCCCCCCTAATTCAACATGGTTGATTTCATACACGGTTAATTAGAAATGTGTATTTGACTTTTAAGATTTATCCCTAAAAATACACATCACAGAGGGTAAATTTGTTGCTCTTGGAGTAACAGCATATCAATCAGCTCAGCTTGAGCCATCTTTATAAAAATAACAACAAATTGTTATCCACAAGCTAAAAGCAACTGAAGTGAAGTGTCTCCTGGCCAACTGCAATATCTAAGCACACAAAACTGGAAATAGACGCTACAAAAAAGAAAAAAAAAAAAAAAAATCACGATTGAGATACGCCTGAAACTTGTCTTTGTTCTTGATAGTTACTCAGGATTAATTTTGGTCAATTTCTCCATCATCGTGGAGGGGATAAACCAACCAATATTCATACTATTGGTTACAACATCACCAAGCTTTTTAATTTCTGAGGTCTTCTAATTGTTTCTCATATTACTGGCTGCAAGGGAATTTCAAAAGCAGAAGCTATCTTCTTTTAACTAATGAAATCAGCGGTATATTGCACACTGCTATCCTCTTTTGGCGAAAATGCAATATTTCACTCCTGGCATTGTCCTGGAAGTGAGACAAAAAAATCCCATTTTTAGAATGCAAATCACTCCTCTTCAGCTCAGTTCCCTATTTGGGTAGTTTGGTTTCATTTGACTCCCACTTCTCATCCTTTGCAATGTAAACGAAGCATTCAGTGCTCATCTGGGAGATGTTACCTGTGCTGTCCAGAGCACCACTTCAATTGCTTACTTGATTTTGCTTTATAAAGCATATAACAAGAAACACATTTCTCCAAGAGACATCTTATTTATATTGCAGCTTTCAGCTTGTCCTTGGCGTGACATAGAGACAGCGCATGAAAACTGACAAACAGAAGATGGATTTCAGAGCAGGCATGTTTGGACTGAGCAAGTCCAACTATCCTTTACTCACTGTCAACTTTAGGAGACTTCATCATTGCATCTCCCATGGATACTGAGGGCTCCATCGGAGTCATCACTCTTTTTTCAGCCTCATTCCTCTGGCAAGCATGCCTTGGATTTCCATGCTGGGCTCTGCTGGCTGGCGAGTGGTAGTGATATTAATTGTTCTATCCTCTACTGTCTGCAGTGGGGTGTTGTTATCCCCAGACACTACACATTAGCTATTATATAGTATTATGTACCAGTCAGCGCCAAAAGACATTTATTTGCTGTGTGGGTGGTGGGATTTGCTAGGTGGGGGGAAGATTCTCCAGCTACAAAATGAACAAATGCAGAAATCCTACAGAACCCCCTGAACACGCAGTCAAATATTTGAACCTCGAAATTCACCTGGTATCTTGAGGCTAGAGGAAAAGAGATACGCCTTAGAGTATGTCTGCAAAGCTAAATATTCTCATCTCCTTTGCAGAACTGTCTCCTTTGCACGTCTCTTCATGAAGCACATTGCCTTTAGAGGGTCTTGGGATTTTTTAAGCCTCTGGACAATAAGCAGAGCCCAGGCAGGATTTTTCAGCAGGCTCAGGCTTGGGACCTGAAGACGAATTATTCGGCACCTGTTGCTGCACTCAGGTGTGACTTCAGGTACCTGTTCTCGGGGACATGGTGGCTCCGCAGATGCCCAGCGAATGCTCTTTCTCAGAATCTCACTGGAGGCATGAGCATCCTGTCTTGCTTTCTTTGAGAAGGATGGTATGTAAAAGCATACAGACAGCTCCCTTTTCCCAGAGGATTTAAACACATTATTGCTGTATTTAACGAAGAAGGTATAAGAGATTATTAATCGTGACTACATAGTAAGTATTCTTTTTTAACTGCACATACTTTTTCCAACCTCACTCGTCCCATAAAAGTCCCTGGGATTCAACTTGTGCTTAGGAAAGCCAACACTCTTTGGGTTTCCTTGTAGGCAGTTTCTCCTTAAACCGAGGTGTTAAAAGACAGCTCAAGAGTATAAATATATCAGCTCTTACCTGGACACCTTCCAAGCTACAGCAACCCTGAACTCATTAGTCATGTCTCTAGATTTTGGGCAGTATGGTGATGAAAAGTCAGCACAAGGCAAAGCGACAAATATTTTAAAAAGATTTGGGTGCTGCGCTAAGAGAATTCAGCATTTCTTCCAAAATCAAAAATCATGCAAATAATTTTCCAAGAATACAAACATTTTGTTGGTATAATCCTATGTATCACAAATGGTATACACAAAGCTCTGTTGCCCTGAAACAGACAGGGCAAACAAAGCTCTGTTGCCCAGACAGAAACCAGAGCAGGGAGTTTTTTTCTTCGCTAGTTCCAGGTTTTCCTCCAGCTCATTCTGTGCCTGTGGAAAGGGAGCCCGAGAAGAAAGGAGTCTCCTTGCTTTTCCCCAGGAACACACTCATGGCTGCATAAATCCCACAGTCCTTTTTTTCATGCAAGTCACTGAAAGAAATCCCCAGCTTCTTTAGACCACAGGGCTTACTCTGGCTCATACTTTCTAATTAAAGCCATTTTCTTGGACAATAGCCTCCAGTTGTTCCTCACCACCCTTTTGTAAACAGGTCTTTAATTTCTTCTTCCATTTAGCCTGAAAGGAAGATGCTTAGCGCATTCATCAGGTCTGCAATTGTATATTAATCAAAAGAGATGATTGATGCTTGTCATTGAAAGTAACTAGAATAACTGCCAAAATTTACATTTAGTATCTGGACAAAATTGTTTATATGATTTATTTGTGTTATGCCCCATGAAGACAGTAATTTTGTTATGCTTTATTACCTAGCAATTCCAGTTTTTATACTGAGTGGTATACAGCAATACATGTGCCAAAGCTGGCCTTGTCCTTAACATCACTATGAAGATTTCTTTGAGAAATGCTGTCAACTGTGAAGTTCAGAATTATTGTTATGATGCCATCAGTTGAAATGGCTTGGCATTTCTGAGCCTCTTGTAAAAGGGAATGTGCAGCCAGTACTGCAAGCAGTGATGCTCTTCGCTCATGGACTCTATCAGCGTGTCATGGGCTCTCTCGGGATGTGTGGGTTTTCCATTTACATCCATATGCTCGTGTATAGACACATAAACAGTGTGACCCTAAGCAGTCCTGAAACTCATTAGATATGTTTTCAATTAGAAATCTGATAGTAGAAGGTAGAGAACAGAAGAAGAGGA